GTTCTTTTGTTGACTTAAATAATTGATGTATTCTTCTCTATATTCTATTAAACATTGTTTGGAATGATTTTTATGTTTGTTGGTATGTTTTAAGATGACGGATGTAAAGAAATTAAACATCATGTGAAAATGGAAGTGAAAATCGAGAAAGAAGCCATGCTTAAGGTGAAGGTTGTTGCTCCAATACCCCCCTATTGTCCTAGCTTGATTATATTAGAATTAATTGTATGCTAAATGCTTTTTATCGATGTCTCCATTTATTTTTTATTCTTTTAATTAATTATTTTCAGAAAAAAAGTTAGTAGACCACCAAAAGAACTATTAATTACCGAGGGTTTATCAAGGACACCATTTATTTCTAAAAATCGTCGGAAAACCGTCAAAAAGGTTTTCAATTGCCGGTGATTTAGCGACAATTTTATAGTTTCTAAGAAAAAAAATCAAATCATCGTTAATCTTTCGAAAATGTTACTGTTAGTGTATAATTGTGATCTATCTTAGCGTGCATTACCTCCTTGGAAATTACTTAAAGTATTTGGAAGACTATATTTGGTTAAGAGACAATGGATAACCCTTATAGTTGATGGAACGCGTCTTATAATGAGCCTTAATGGTCATAATGGTTGGTGTGAAATGGTGGGAAATTTGAATTTTAAAAGATGAAATATAAAAAAAGAGTAATTTGAACAAACTTTAAGTGTTTTCAATTTGAATTTTAATCAATATTTATATGATTATCTATTTTCGGGTACAAATGTACCACGCATCACCTCCACCACTTCCATATAAACCAAATTGTCGTCCTCACCTCTCCCCGACGATCTTCCCCATCCTAAGCCATCGTAGACCATCACGAACAAAAGTAGCAATTCGCCTCCACCACTTCCATAATGGTCTTATCGTCTTCCTCACCGCCTTGTCGACCATCTTTCTTATCCCCTCGATCATCGTTGACGATCACAAACAAAAGTAGATGTAGTATCGAAAGGGACTATAATCTCTCTCTCTCTCTCTCTCTCTCTCTCTGTGTATATATATATATATATATATATAATTGAGATCACGTGAGACCAGTCTGTTTTTGTAAGAACCGTGAAGCTACTTTTTTATTGTGAGGGTTTGGATTTTTTTTACCTCACGAAAATAGACTGGTCTCACGTGATCCTAAATCTATATATATATATATATATATAT